GTTACAAATTTTTCATATACCGTCTAACGTTATGTTTATTAACATGACATGCGATTATGAAAAACTTTATATTGAATTGTAACAAAACAGATTTAGTTTTACTAATACAAGCTCTGATTTTATAAACAACAAAATCAAAAGAAGACTCTTTAAAATAAAATCCTCGATAATGATCTTTTACGTAAATTTTAAAAAGAGTAGTATGCTTAGTTGTATTGTTATTTTTTTAGTTTTTTTAGTTTTTATTTTGAACAATGGTTTATTTTAAATTAATATAAGCTTATTTATAAAAACAGAATAGAATACTTATACATTTTTTTTTCTAATACTAATAAAAAAAAATCGGAAGAACTGAGAAAACTAATATGATCCCCTCACGTCAGGAAATAACTAATAATTTATATAATTTTCTCATCCATAGAACAACAAATATGATCTCTTAATAATCAATGTGATCCCTTAATTGTTTACTTTAAATCAATTTATATTAAATCTATATATCAGGGCTATCGTTTTACAATATCAAAAAGACTTTTGTTTAATGGATGCTATAAAAACTTTATGAGTAGTATTTTTCATAACATGATAAGAACTACAATATTTCAGAGACATTTAAACGATAAAAGTGGTATTTACTTGGTAACTTTTTATAATACAAAATAAATGATATAAATTGGAAATTACATTTAATTAAATTACAAAATTGCATAATTTTTAAATATTTGCAAAATCAAGCAGATATCACTCATATCGTTAAGCAAGTATATGGAGTGACGCTTAAATAAAAAGAAACAAATCAAACAAAAAACCAATAACAAAAGTTTGCACCTAAGTGAGAAAAAGAATATAAACAACTAAAAACCTGCAAAGTAAACAAAATAACTAAAAGAAAAAAAATTAAGTTTTTTTTTCTAAAGTTGTTTTTTTGTTGGGAATTTCCGTTAAATCCTATTAGTCTGTATATTTTATATTTTCATATAAAGAACAGCGTCAGCTTAAATATTATATCTTGAGTGTATTTAAAAAAACTGTACTCAAGCTGCATGAATTTATTCATGCAAACATAGTCATAGTATTAACAGTTAAATACTATGATTATGATGTAAAGTTGTTTCTGGAAAAAGCTCGATTACTAACGCTAATTATATTAAACAAACTCAAAAAGTAGAAAAGTAATTTAAAACATATAATTTAAAACGTGTTTTAATAAAACAATGGTTTTTTCTAAGTTAATAATAAAATCAAGAAAAAAATTGTATCACTCCTAAAAATAAATATAACTGAACGTATAACACACTTTCTATCTGTTGTTACAGCTCTAATTAGAAATGTAATTTACTTTTGCCAACTTCTAATTCATTTATTTATTGCTTTAGCAGTGGCAAAACTATTATACGGATTAGAGCTGTGTAGTTATAATAACAATGTTCCTAATAGTATGGATATGGTTAGAAAATTTGTCCTAAAATTCTTTATTAATACCTCTAAACACAGTAAAAGCTTACTTTATTTTTATTTTTTATTTAATTTTTATCTCATTATTGTGGAAATATCAGCTATTTTCTTTTGCAATAAGTTATTTATCAGATCATTAAACTATAAGTGAAAATTATACGTAGTTTTCAAATAGTTTACCTAAATAAATATTGGACAGTGATCACTAATACCTGATTTAAATACCCCCGAACAACTGTGATTTTTAAGTCGTTGTTGATAAAAGTATTATCAATAGAAGTAGAAGATATCACATCCAGAGACAATTTTAGATAACCTCCCCCCCCCTTCCCTCTCAAAAGGTGACAATTGATTTTTACAAATATAGTCAAGTAGTCGGGTGTCTGACACAATTCAGTCGGGTGAATTTTAGTTTTCGAGACCTTTTTTTTTATTAGGAACCAGTCGGTACTTTTAAAAGATTCACCCCCTCCCCTCATTATATTCGTATAATCGCCTCTGGTCACATGTGTAGGTTTTTTAACAATTGACAGGTTATTTAACTTAAAAAGCATATCAGTCAAGTTATTTCACCTCATTAATATGAAACAAATTAAGTTTTTTTTTATATATTTAAAATTTAAGAGTTTTATATCTACCATGCTGAGCCTCTTAAAAATATATGAGGTCAAACGTTTAGTTTAAATTGTTTCAGAAACCTTTAAATCTTTTTTAAATAAAAAAATAATGTATAAACATTTTTTTAAATTTATTTAAATAAATTTTAAATATATTTAAGTAAATGCAACCAGAATAAAGGCTGAGAAATTCTTAGATAAAAATTTATGCTTTTAAGGTTTTTTTTATAAAAGGTGTAGTCTGGTTAGGTTAGTTATGCATGCGAACCTCTGACTGGGCAAGTTGTTATTTATGAAATTTTCTAATAGTTTTACTTAAGTCCTTTTTAATATAAATATTTGTACAATTTTAAGTTTAAAAGATTTATCTAACGCTTTATTTGCTATCATAACTTTAAAGATTAAAAAAGTTACATGTTCAAACTCACGCATCTAGAGTACAATTGTGTAGTTAATAAACAACAGAATTTTAAAATTAAACACTTAATTCTTATGTTAGATGATAGATTTCTTATGGTAGATGTTAGAATTAAACAAGTTTTAACTTCCTGTTGTTTATTATAAATTTTTCACGGGAAGATTTTTTAACAAGGGAATCTTTTGCACAAGAAAAGTTATTGTAAACAATTAAAGTCTGACCGATCATGTCTATAATTTTTTTTTTAAGATAACTTTCATATAATTGACTTTTTATTTTAAAAAAGCAATTTATATGAAAATTATCTTATAAATTTCCAAAAATATGATGTAATTTTGATTTCAACCCATCAGTACCTAGTGGGCATACGTCATCCGGGGGATATGCTTCAGACGTCTTACGGACGTCCCCCGGATAACGCATGCTCACTTGGTAAGGAGTATACAATAAAAATTTTTATGCTTCAAACTCAGCAACAAAAAAAGGAAAGTATTTAAATCAATATCCACGAAATAATAACGTATAATAATAAAATTTCTCTTTTTAAACATGTAATAAGCTTTAATTAAACTAAAAAAAAAAAAAAAAAAATTAAAAATTTCATTTCAAATTATGGCGCTCCAAGTCGTCAGTTTAACAAGTGTAAATGATATATATATTTTTGGGACTTAATAAGTTTGGGACGGCGGCAAATTAAACTAAATATTCGAGTAAAGGTTGATTATAAACAAAATTTTATTCAAAAACCTTTTTTTTAAAATAAAGAACCATACAAGCATGCTAGTTTGGTATGCTAGTATGCTGCTATAGTAGCTCAACTTGGGAAAAAAAAACATGAAAAAATTTGAGATTAAATAGAAAACTTGATTAGGCTATGTTTTAGTTCGAGTAATAATTTTAGCAGAGTTTTATTCCAGTCAAAAAATTAATAAAGTTTTATTAATGTCATAAGATTTATAGACTTAAAAGATTTTAAACTTGGATAGTTAACCTAACACAATATGGAGTTAATACAAAATGAAATTTCCAATCAAAGCTATTTTGTGCTTTTTTTTTCTTTAACGTTTTATTACACGCTTTGTTAAACATATTTGAAAATAAATCATTTAAACTAAATTGCTCCAAATCGTTTTTAACTTATTTAAATTCAACAGAGCGTCTCGCAGGCCGTATATATTTTGTCAACAATAAGATCCTATGGGACTTTTAGACTAGGGTATATTATTTATGGCAATAAAAAGTAATGATAAAATATGTACATAACTAATAGATTAAAATATAAATAGCTTAGAAGAAATTTGAAAAGCAAAACAAATTTTGCAAATGCGGACTACACGGGCTCAACACTTCTTGTAAATGTATGAAATTAATGCCCTGTGTAAAATGCTTTTCCTTTTTTTATTTTAAAGAATAATATTTTTAGCAATTAAAAAAATCATTTATTGGAAAGTAACAATAAAAAACTCCATTTTCAAAAAATAATAATTGAACACAAAAAAAAAAAAGACTTAAAAGTTTCAATTATTAATGATTGAAAAAGAATTATTACTGAGAAGAAATTATTTAAAATATTTGTTTAAACGTGTTTGGATTATTTATTTAAACGGCAATTACTAGTTTTTGCCCAAGTTACTAGAATATAACGTTTGACGAAAACGAAATGAAGTTCTTCAATTGCCGGCGCAAAAACAGCTGCTGGTATATTACGTCACAATATGACTCACTGTATTTATCATGAAATATTGCGCTTCTGCCTTATGTCTGGTTAGAAGTGCTTGGTGAACTTTTCAGGAAAAATTATAATTAACTCTTAATGCGCTTTTTTAACTTAATACATATAATGTGTATATATATATATATATATATATATATATATATATATATATATATATATATATATATATATATATATATAAATATATATATATATATATATATATATATATATATATATATATATATATATAATATATATAAATAAATATATATATATATATATATGTATATATATATATATATATATATATATATATATATATATAATATACACACACGTATATATATATGTATATATATATACATATATATATATATATATATATATATATATATATATATATATATATACATATATATATATATATATATATATATATATATATATATATATATATATATATATATATATTTATATATATATATATATTTATATATATATATATACATATATATATATATATATATATATATATATATATATATATATATATATATATATATATATATATATATATATATATATATATATATATATATATATACATACGCACATATGTAATATGTAAAGATAAATCAGAGAACACGAAAAATATAAAACAAAATCAAGAATAGCTATCGTAGATGTAAATTAATTTTGCTTTGTTTTAAAAGATCTGCTTTTTTCAAAACAAAACATCTGCTTCATGCTAAACAACGTTTACTAAAGTTTTTCTAATGAAACTTCCTATGGCTTTAAATGTTTTCCTAAATGATTGTATCGACAGTAAATTTTAAACTATTATTTTGAAAAATGTGAAAATTAAAACTGATCTAGGTGAGAAATAAAATACTTAAAACCACGCGATAAAAAAATGAACGTTAAAGAGGAACCTTCTTCAGTAAGGTAGGAACTTTATCTAAGAAAAGATTTTATCATCAAATAAGTCATTTGTGTAAAGGGTACTTCCCTTGAAAAACTCCGTTTATGATATATTTATGATATATTTTATAAAAAACACCGAAATATTATTTATTATTTGTAACTTGCAGACCTCAGTTGCTGAGCTAGACTAATTAAAACAAACTTTTTATTTATGTTGTAGATGTATTTACAAATATAAATACATTTGTCAATTACTTAAAATTAATAAAATAAATTTGTCAAATACTTATGTCAATTTAATAATAAGTGTTAATGATTAAAAATTAATTTTAACAAATTGTTATACGCTACATAAATAAAAACCTTTAACTGTTTAATTTAATGTTAGTAAAAGTCATGTTTTAAATTTCTATACATAAACCTTTGAGCCAACTTCAAGATGAAACTATAACAAGAAAGACAGGACCAAGACATTTAAATATCACTAAATATTTTTTTAAACATTTCACTTATGGTTTTATGTACTTCATTTAGTTTTTTTTTTTTTGAGATAATCTTATTTCTGCTTTGAATGTTTTTTTAACAATATTATATAGAAGCTTAATATCAGATATAAACAATTATAAACATTTAAACTCTTTTTATTTATTTTCATATAATTCTAGTTTAAAAAATTTGAAACTTTATATGGTGATATCTTTTGATTGCTCAAATATATTTTGATGAAATTTGAAATCTGTTTATCAAGAATAATATAAATTAGGCTTCGCAATATGTTTTTTAAAATCCAAATGCCTTTGCAAATGAGTTAGGGAGTAGAGAGTTTCAATATATATATATATATATATATATATATATATATATATATATATATATATATATATATATATATATATATATATATATATATATATATATATATATATATATATATATATATATATATATATATATATATATATATATATATATATATATATATATATATATATATATATATATATATATATATATATATATATATATATATATGTATATATATATAACGTTTATATAAAAAAAACGTAGATATATATAACGTTTTTATAAAATAAAGATTATTTTTATTATATCAACGTTTTCGTTGGTACTTTTTATTCCCGTGCTCCAATCACCGTTGACGAGCTTAAGGTAGCTAATAGAGTTTTTTTATGTACTGAGAAAAATATTTGGTGTTTGGAATTATTTCACTGTTATGTTTACGTGTTTAAATGAAGTTAGCTCTATTTTTAAGTTAGCTATTTTACGTGTTGTATACGTTTGTAACACGTCTATACGTGTTATAAACTATCTATTAAGAACGTGTTTGAACCATCAGCATTGGATTCTCAATAAAAGAGCCAGGGTGATGATAGAAGTCAAAGTTCAAAACACAGTAGAAAACCATCACAATTGAGTTTTTCAGCTTCTTCTTTTCAACTTCAGAAGTTTATGTCAGCTTCTTTCTTGAACATTGACATCATACTTGGATTGTCTGTAAGTACCAGTAATGTTACATTTTTTTTTTAAATTCGTTTTAAATTTTACCTTTTACACACGAAAAATTGATGCATAAATTGATTTTGGGTAACTAGTAGATAAATGCGGAAATTATGAATTTAATGGCAAACATCTTATGCAGATGGCTAGAAAGTTTGCTATTAGATGAAAAAATAAAACAAGCTTTATATAAAAAACTGCATCCAGAAATTATTATCATATATTCTAATATTATTATTTCAGTTATAAAAGTAATATTCCCATAAGCAACATGAAAGTAAAGTTTGTGCAGTTGTAATAAAAACTATAAAAAAGTTTCAAGAATAAAAACTGTTTGTATGATGAGTAACAACGCAACTGTGTTTAAAAGTTTCAACCAAGACTCTACAATGGTTAACTTAGCATGAGAAAAATGTTTGTCGATATTACCAATTATAATGAAATTATAAACAAATGTTGTTTAAAAACAGCATAACACAACATTTGTATAAAAAGAATGTGCATCTAAAAAGAAAAATTTTTAGATACTCAGTTATGATTGCTTATTTTTTTTTTGCACTTGTATTTTATGCAGGCAAAAGATTTCGTATATATTATTTTTATACCGTGTTTTTTTTGTTTTTTTCAATCGTATTTGCATCGTTCATCTTATACTTTGTATTGCTTTTGTTTGCTTTATATATAATTATTGTTTTTTACTTTGGTTTCTTTTTGTAACATTGAAGTTGAAAAATGGGGTGATTGGAACACGTGAATAAAATCCCCCTTAACAATGTCTAGTACTAACCCACTCGCGCGAGCAATTGGTTTTAGCAATTGCGCGATCTTAAATTATAATAAAACGCAGAGACAGTTCAAATTTTATAAAAATGTATTTTATCAAACTGTGATATTAACTCTAGAAGTGAATCGAATTTATTTTGTATATGCTAAACAAAATACCTGATTCTATCAAGTTTCAAATATAAAAAAAAAATGATTGTTTTAGCAAACTCATTTGAAAATTACTTCAAACGTTTTTACGTTATGAGCATATTTTATTTTTGTACTTTTGTAAAGCGACGAACAGACTTTTATTTACTATTATCATAAATTTGTTGTTCCAATGGTTTCATTGTAATTGAGAATATATATGCATGTTAGATTTAAAAAGCTTACTCGATTATGATTAAACGTTTACTTTCAACTGTGTATACATAACACCTCTGTTTAGTACAACACTTGGAGATCAAAAGTAAATAACGTTAAATATGGCTGCCGTATCAAATAACTTGCACTCGGGATTGCTTAATATCTATTGAATAATATTTCCTAAAGCATAAATATCGCTAAAGTTTCTGGCTATGAACTAGATGAACTAGGGTTGAGCTTGGTAAAACGTAACTTATCAGTAACTTTATTGGTTAATTTTACCGAGCTTAACTCTAGCGTGAACATAATTAAGCTTTCACTATAAAAATTCACTTACAAACTTTTCACAACAAAATTGAGAATACTTATTCTCGATAACAAAACTTAACGTTTCAAAGACTTTACGTTATGATGACCAAAAAAAAAACAGTAACTTTATTGCTATTTTATCAACGGTCACTTCATTTTTTATCGATCCATTCTTTTTTATTTTTTATCTGTTCATTTTGGATCTTTTTAACTAAAAGCCAGAAATTACGATTTTATCTATCTTGCGTTATGTTTTTTTAAATATCTTATTGGTTAACGTGTCTTGACACTGTTCAGGTACAGAGTAAGCACAGGTGAAAGCAATCTATTTCACTGATTTTAAAAGAAGAAAACGCACTTGTTCATTGTAAAATCGAATAAAACACTCAAAGCAAGCAGAATTAAAAAAAAATTTATATATATATATATATATATATATATATATATATATATATATATATATATATATATATATATATATATATATATATATAATCTTTTCTATTGTTTATTCAGATTGATTTATATTGATTTATTTTTATACAAATTTGTTTTGTAAATACACACGATGAATTTATTCATGTTGATGAAGAGAGAAATAAGCAATTCCATCATGTCTCAAATATTTTCTATTAGACCTTGTTAACTAAATTTTATCAGTCGATTACGGTACACAACAGTCGATTACGGTACACCACAGTCGATTACACAAAAATCCATAAAGTATCAAGTCTTTACTTAAGCATCAAACCCTTTATATTTCTACTATAACTTATTGAAAGAAGTGAAAAAAAATGTATGGATTAAAACTAAAGATCAGATGTTGCTATGTACACAATAAAAAATTTATGTACACATTAAAGCATAAGAATATTTTCAGGAACATTTTTCATTGCTAAAGTTATATAAAACACTGGTTTTAAAATGTTAAAAAACTTTAGGATTCAGAGAAAGATAAGTAAAGATATAACAAAAATTGTGAAGATTTGTAAAAGAAAGTAAAGGTTTAGTAAAGAATTAAAGAGGATCAAATGCATTTTAATTTATCTTTTTAAATATTTGTAGAAATAAAGCAAAATCTATAAATAAAAAAAGATGAAAGTCTGTTATCTATTTTCAAATTAAATATGTGTGATGATGTTTACAGTTTAAGTTTGACTCTGATTGATTGTGTTAGGTATTATCAATAAGCAACATTATCAAGCTTAACTTGGCTTCTCAGTAAAAACTTCAGTAACCTAGGTGTTAGGTTATTATCACACAGGTTTTAGAACTTTTTGTGTTCATAGCAGCTTGGTGTTGTTTCATTAATAGCTTTTTTATTTTTAGACAAATAGTTAAATGAGTTTGATTAAAATTTCATAGTTTTGATTGGAACTTTTGTACCAAAAACTTGTATTAAGTTACCAATATTCTACTGATACTTTATAAAATATTAGATCGTATTGTTAAACTCTTAATCTACTAGCTGTAATTACAGTATAATTTCTTTCACAGAATGTCACAGTATAATTGTAAGCAATAATTACAGTATAGTTACTTTCACAGAATAGCACAGTATAATTGTAAGTAATTACAGTATAGTTGAGTTAAATAAAATTTATTCGAATGACATATGACCATTTTATACTTTGAGTTGGTTTGTTTTCCTTAAATGATATTTTTGCCTATAATAAAACTTTTAAAGCTAAATTTTTTGTTAAACAGTTTATTATGTTACTTATTATTTTGTGCAATCAATTTGTCTTTTTAATTTATGGTATGATTGTAATTTTTACTATTTTCTCAAGCTTGGTTAAAATTTTTATACATTTTTATGGGTAAACTTTTTTTATATGGGTGAACTTTTTTTGAGATTCTGATTAACACTGGATAGTTCAATTAAACGTACAAAATTGGTTGTTCAAGCAATGTCTTCTAACGACGATAAAACAATTTCATAACTAAAACCTCGTTTTAATTATAGTATGCTTCATGATGTCAGTAAATAGCGTTTTATAGTGTTGTTGTTATATAATAATAAATATTGTTAGGAGCAATATTTATCAGCTTAAGTACGTATACATACAATCTGTATAGCTAATCTATCAGTATACATTTCAATAATCTATGGTTTTATTTATTATTGGTTTTGAATTTTATTATTTTCTATTTAATACAACTTTTATATTTAAGATCCACTGCTTATGTAATCATGTATTTGTTCCCACTCCTTTATCATGTATTTGTTCCCATTCCTTTATCATGTATTTGTTCCCACTCCTTTTTTACATCAGAAACATATTAATACCCAGTTGACCGCAACCGAGTCTTTCATATGGTTGATACTTTCTTTTAACTTTTATTTGTTTTGTGGTATTTTATATTTGTTTAAATTGCAGCTGTTCTTTTTCTAAAATCTCTGGTTTAATAAAATATTATACCTTTTTCCCACCTCATCTTCAATTATAGTTTTTTATTTTCATTACATTATCAATGAGATTTAATTGTTAGATACTTCTCCTAAACATATGACGATTGATACGAGGTTTCACTGTTACCATTGATACCAAGTTTCACTGTTACCATTGATACCAGGTTTCACTGTTACCATTGATACCAGGTTTCACAGTTACCATTGATACCAGGTTTTACTGTTACCATTGATACCAGGTTTCACTTGCTTACCATTGTTACCATACTGTTACCATTGCTATTTAGCTTAATTTAATTTTTGTAGTTATAAATTTTCTACAATATTATTAAGGTCTACTACCCCTCCCTTTTGCAATTTTAGCAAAAAAGAGGGCCATATTTGCAACATTGGTAAGGAGGCTAAACCTTCCTAGTAATTTGATCTCACTACTAAGCAGATTAATCTCACTACTAAGGTTAAGAGCAAGCTCTTTTACACTTTACCGCAAATGGATTAAAAACTTTAAATGTAATAATGGAAAACACGCAAATTAATAATATTACACAAAAATACAAAAAATATTCATTTTAGACATTAAAAGTATTTCTAAGAGACATTACAAAAAAAAAAAAAATAATAAATAAATAAATAGATTATTGCAAAGAAAAAAACAAACAGTATTTGACAAAGAATCATTTGCAGTTTTAATAGTAAATTGCGCTAAACTTAATAATCCAGGAACGCACTCTTGTCAAACCCCTATTCCGACGTAGAGTGTCCTTTGCGTCCGCAACTCGTATTTCTAGGAAATAAGTAAAATGGGGTATATAGAGATTTGCACAGCGGTGTGCACATACACCAACTGATTTTTAGAGAGAGCATGCAGCGGAGTGTGCAAACAACGACTGTGGGTTTGGGTTAGGCAGGTTCTCTTTTAAATGATGAAGTCGTTTTTTTACATTTTCGGACCTTAAGGACAGCGTCGGAATAAGAGAGTCTACCAATAATCCAATAAGACAGCAGTAGAACATAAAAATTAAAAAATATATGAACAAAATTAAAAAATAGCTATGCACGAGTTAAATACTTCATGTAAAACAAGAATGTGGCATTATGAAGAAGAATCATTGAGTAAAGCAGCTGTAAATATTTTAACACACCA